AATGCAATGTAAATGCTATATCAACAAGTGTTACACTGTGTTGTTCTGGGAATAATGGTGAGGGGGAAATGTCTGTACACGTTTGGCACAGACACAGTTTTTAAAAACTGAACCTGTGGTTGGTGGAATGTGCCCATACAGAGGGTCAGCTGTACCAGCTATGCTGGTCCTTAGGAGGACACCATAGTGATGCTCAATATCACCCCCAGATGCCATCACTGTTGCTTCCACACATCCTCACACTTGATCTAATTAAATGCAACATTCTCAGACTCACTGACTTCTTAGGAGAGAATTTGGTCACTGTGGAACTTCATAGTCTGGCACCCACTCCAAACATGCAATGTCCCTTTTGTTTCAAAGGTTTCAAAATACATACGAAAACTTCTATTTAAAATTAAGCAAACACTATAACTCCAGGGAAAGGCCACACCCCAGACTGTAGCACACCCAATCAGAAGGCAATTGTCCAGCTTCCTGTGCCCAGTCTGAGAGCTGTCCCCATCTCATGAATGTGTGTCCTCCTTTTAAAGATAATTAAATAAACTTTAAAATGTTTATTCTTGTCTTATGAGCATGAGTGTTGCCTGCATATATGTCTGTGCACCACATATGTTCTTGGTGGCCACAGAAGTCAGAAGAAGGTTTTGGATTCACTGGATCCGGATGGTTGTCAGCCACCATGTGGGTGCCGGGCACTAACTCTTCCTGAGACTTCTGCAAAAGTAACTAGTGATCTCAACCACTGAGCTATCTTTTCAGTCCCACAAATTTTCCTTTGAAATAAATTAGTGTATGTAAGTTGTGACAGACTAAACTTGAGAAGCTTTGCTTATGAGGCTCCGCTCATAACAGCAGTTTGGGCAGCAAAATAAATGTCAGAAAGAGAAAGAAAATCATGTTGGAAATGTTGTGGACTCACAGTTTTTTGTGTAGTTTTGTGCATTTACCGTCTGTGTATGTGTGGAGCTGTGAGTGGCATGTGCGTGAAGTCAGAGAACAGCGCTGGGAGTCGTTCTCTCTCACCATAATGTGGACTCCTGGGATCAAACTCAGGTTGTCAGGCGTGCCTGCGGATGCCTTTACCACCCGAGCCTTCTCATCTGCTCTGACCCATGAACATACAGGGTAATAAATACATTTCCAGTCATCTCTATCTGCAGTCATACAGACACACGTTCCTCAGCGCAGTCTCCTGAGAGGCTGGAAATCATGGTTGCAGTAATGAGCACACAAGTGCTCAGAGGTTCATTCCTTTTAAAGCCTTGGAAGAGTTTTCTGTACACAGACCTAGTGTGATTTCTTTCAGTGGGTAGATGTCTTATGTAACCCATTCAAGAATGATCCCCTAGAAGCCGAGAGTGGTAACAAATGCCTGTGATCCAGCACTGATATGATGAGGCAGAATTATGAGTTCTAGCCATTCTGGACGACAGGCTGAGACTCTGACTCAAGACTGCCAAGTGGAGCTGCTGGAAATGCACCTTGCTTTGCTTTCAGATGAGCAACGAGGCCCAAATAAGGCTCAGTGTGTGTGTTTGTGTTTGTGTGTGTGTGTGTGTGTGTGTGTGTGTGTGTGTGTGTGTGTGTGGTGCCTTGGTATCCAGCATGCTAGACAAAACCTTTATCACTAAGCCAACTGCCCAAATTTAGACTTGATTTCTAAATACTACCTTTCCTAAAGAAACCAAGGACTGTGAAGAAATATTTTTCTTTTTTCTCTATTAAGAAAATTTATATTCATTTTACATACCAACCACAGATGCCTCCTCCTTCCTCTTCCCACCTCCCAGTCCTCACCCCATTCACACCTCCTGTGAGTCAAGGTCTCCCATGGGGAGTCAGCAGAGCCTGGTACATTAAGTGGAGGCAGGTCCAAGCCCCTACCAGCCGCACCAAGACTGGCCAAGGTGTCACACTTTAGGCACTAGGCTCCAAAAAGCCCACTCATGCACCAGGGACAGGTCCCAATTCCCCGGCCTGGAGGGCCCTCCAAACAGTTCAAGCTAAACAACTGTCTTACCTATCCAGAGGGCTAGTCCAGTCCCATGGGGGCTCCTCAGCTATTGGTCCACAGTTCATGGGTTTCCACTAGTTTGGGTGGCCGTCTATACATTTCCCCATCATGATGTCAATGTCACAAGAAATATTTTATTTCAGAACTAAGAAGGGAAAAGTCAAAGATAAACCTGGAATATTGCTTCATGCCAGAAAGTCTTTCTAATTAGTTTCTGTGAGGCCGCAGAAGTCGAGACTTAGTCATCCTGTGATCTACAGAGTATCATGCTATGGAAGATTGGATGAGGGGTGGAAGGCTGTCAGGGCAGTGGACAAGGCTTTAATGAGGCCGGTGGATGTCCTTAGAGTGACGGCAGGAGGCGGGATGGCGAGGGAGGGGGCCAAAGTCTGTGCATTTAGGAGAGTGACCTGCAGTGGAGGCCCTGCTTTAGAAGAGAGAGCAGAAATGGACAGACAGATGGACCTGTGTGAAGAGTCAGGTGGGGGAAGATGGGGGAGCCAGCTGCAGAGAGCAGCAGGGAGCAGCTGTGTGCTGACCCCTTCTCCTTTCCTTGGAGAGGACAGTGACGAGGAGAGTCTCTGCTAGGTGGGGCCTCCTAGACTGCAGAAGGTCTAGGTCATCAGCTGCTCACTCATGCCGGGACTACTACTGAGGATGGCTTTGTGGTGTCTCCCACAGCACAGGCTCTGGGTTCTCTCAGGAACCTGGAGGAACTGCTCCTTCCCAGTGGGGACGGGATTCACCACGTGGCCAAACTGATTGTCTGGCAATGTCTGCAGCTTCGGTGTCTCCGAGTTCTTGCCTTTAAGGAGACCTTGGATGACGACAGTGTGATGGAAATTGGTGAGTTCCCCTCAGGGAAAGGGTTTCCGCCTGTGTGGAAGCAGTGGCTTCATTGGAGCTGTCTGCTGCGAATGTCTAGTATGGCAAAGTCTTCCAAACTGTTCCTCATTTCCACCACCACACTGTTTCATCTCGTGTCCTTTTTTCTTTTCTTTTTTCTTTTTTTTCTTTTTCTGGAGCTAAGGACTGAACGCAGGGCCTTGCGCTTGCTAGGCAAGTGCTCTACCACTGAGCTAAATCCTCAACCCCCATCTTGTGTTCTTCTGCAGATAGGTTCATCCTGTTCTGACTGGGAAGGTCAACAGCCTTTTTGCTTTAGTGGGGATATAGAAGCCATCCACCTGTGGTTTGTTTCCCCAGTACTGGAAATTGAACTCAGTGCCCCCAACACACAGTGTTCTACTCCTGCACCATGGACCACTAATCTGTGTTCTGACACTTGGTGTTCCATACACCTGGCAGATTCTCTGTTAGTCAATTGAATACTGACAATATGTAAACAAATGTGCAACAAGCTGAAACGTAGAACTGGATCAGTGTTCCTGTTCACATTGCTGAAATTTTGGTTATCCAAGTAAGTGTAGAGTCAACCAGATGAGGACGCAGACCTGTGTGCATTCTGCAACTGTGCCCTCCTCTTCCTCCACAGATGACCACTGCACTGCTTTCTTTACCATAGAGTCATTTGCCACAGACTCCTCATGGAAGGGAGTCCTGTGCAATAGGCACTGTTTTGTCTGAAAATGTGTGTGTGCTTCATATTCCTAGTAACACATGTGACCAGAGTGATTGATTTCACTGCTGTGTGTCATTCCATTATTTGACCGATCTGCACTCTGTGTCCATTCA